TCGTTATCTTTTCTATCCTACGTGTCCCAGATAACAGGGGAAGGCTTTGAACTGGATTGAATCTGCATTTTCATTGGTGATATGCTGAAGTAGAAGAAAGTGTAGATTAGTGGAACAGTATAAAATCAAAAGCAGAAACAGTAAAGCATGCTTCCTTCTAATATGTAGCTGTACTATCTGCACAGAGTCATTACTTGGTATTTCTTCTCCTTCCCTGACTACTGTGGAACACTATCAAATGGTCTTTGACATAAGCACAAGTCCATTAGGGGTGGGATTCTGGTTAGGGCATGTAACTACGCAGCAACGTAAGTTGCTGTGGTGAATGTCAGAGACATCTGGTGGGTAAAAGCTCTGCCAGATGGCATGCAAAAGATAATTTACACATGTGGCTCATATGGTTAGTTTCCACGCCATCGTCTTGGCAGCTGTGCTGCAGTCATTTGGTGTTGTCTCACAAAGCATTTTTACTGCTGCACGGATAGCCCTGAATGATCTCGTGATACCCTATTGCTGCCCGTGTTACCTCTGCTTTTATTAATGTGACACTGCTTTCATTGAATGGCATCCTTCTGTGTACACACTGAGCTGTGTACCTGCTTGCTTTTTTTGAACTGGACAAGGCTGTTTCCATTACTGCTTTCCAGAAACTCCTAGGTCTTGTGCAGATTGTGCTTTATCACAACACAGATTGTGCTGTTACAGAATGGAATTTCCTAGGCTTTTTTTTTCTCATTCCTTTTGTTTCCTTTTTATTACCATCCTTCTGTATTTTTTGACATTTTTATGAGTGCAGAATTCTCAGTGATTTTAACAGGAGACTGGCGTGAGTAGGGGCAATAGGATAACAGCCAAAATAGCTTTCTAATACCTTTTATTGTAGCCTGTAGGTGTTGCATCTCCATTGGATGTTGTTATTTGAGCTTTTCAAATGACTACCCATTAGCTGTCACTTCAAATATTTCATATTGTTTTTTTCCTCTCAGAAATCTAATTTTTCCTGTGTCTATTGAGCTTCCTGCCCTGCTGTTGGTAGTTTTGCTCAACAGTATTTATCTTGCTCTTGCAATTAGTGGGTTTAGAAAACAAAACAAAACAAATGTTTTCCAAACACCTCCAGTAATCATCATTACCAAATGAGATCTGCGGTAATTGTGTCTCTTACTTTATACAAAGGTGTGTGCACACACATTTACACATACACATGTATGTGTAAAAACAGCCTTTTTGGCAAAGCAGCAGCAGGACCTATAATAATCAGTTTTTTGGTTCCATCCAGCATAAAATGAAAAGGTAGGAAAAAAACAAAGCCCCCAAATCCCAAACAGACAATGTTTGTTTCATAGGGGTTCATGGTTACCAGTTTAGTATGATTTAGCAGTTCTGAGCTGTCCACACTAATTTATTTGTGATACAAAAGAATGTAACAATTCAGTTCACGTGAAGAATATATTTTATTTCTGAAAACAAATACACTCATTTTTAAAAGTGAACTTCAAAATTATTTTACAAGGGAAGATGTTATATCGAATAGCACCCTTCTATTCCAGCTCATTAATCAGTGTCATAGAGAGGAAGGTTTACCTCTTTAGCTGTGAAAACGCAAACTACAAACCATTCTTATTCTAGACCTGGAAACTGTGATGAGATATCCCAGGTTGCACAATGGAACTGAAAACCCTAGCTGATTAGTTTATAATGTGCTGTGTGATTAGTATGACCTCTTGTGTTAAACATGGGAATATTCATTTGTTTGTTCACATAATGAAACAATCAAGCAAGTATACGAAATATCTAAGAGCTAGTAACAGCACTGTCCTTGCCATTTCTACAAATAAACAGGATAGCAGCAGTAGAGGTATTAAAATTGGGAGTTGTAACATTTACACATGAATTAGAAAAATAAATGCAATCATTTCACCATGTATAACACAGCTATCACATATTTCAGTCTACCAAGGTTTTAAGAAGATCAATTTTTTCTTCACAATTCTAATGAAGCCTTCCATGACCAAAGTAGATTACAGGACAGAGTCTTGGTGACTTCTAAATAAGACATAAAGCATTCACAAATTTCTTAAAATCCTTTCATAGTAAACTATGTCCTGAGGACTTCATCTTCTGTTAAGGAGAACACTTAAAAGAAAGCATCTTTAAGCAAACATAAACGACATGTCACGAACAGAAAAGACAAAACCTAGGCTTATCTCTATCTTTAACTAGTTCAGAAAACATGTATTTTGACAGCAGGCTTGCGCAGCACTTTTATTTACAGAGTGATAAAAGCCTGGGTTCCCTAAGATTTTCATTTTCTAAGATCTATGAAATTCATGCGTGTTTGAAAACACAGGCAAAATAGGACCAGTGAGATGGAATTATAGCACCATGTTTTTCCAAACAAACAATGGAAGATCTGAAGCTGTGTTAAACAGCCTGCTCATTCTTAGAAGCGTCTTTTTTCTTGGTCTTTGATGCTGAGAGAAACCGACTGCAACGGAGAGCATCCAAATACACTTTAGTGCAATTGAAAAACACAGACCAATGCATTGGAAAGTGTTTTATCATTCATGCAAGAATGTGTGTGTGGATTTTATTCAAAACTACATCGTTAAACAAATTCTGAATTATTACGAGGAATTATGATGCTGTATATCACATATACTCCTATTTATGGGTGCTTTTTCCAAAATGACCTATGTAAACATACTCAGAGATTTTTAATTTTTGGTCACTCTCTAAATAATTTATCCATATTGTACATGATATTTACTACATTAGTGAGGGTTGTCTGATTGTGTGTGTGCAGTATGTGCTTGCTTTAAAAGGTACACCTTGTTTAGGAACTAAGTAATGGAAATTTTGGAGCAGAGAATATTTAAAAACTTTGTTAATGAGTGTGCCTTGCTCATATTTATAAAATTCAAGCCATTCAAGGGCGTAATTTCCAAGGAAATTGAATGTCATGTGACATACAGAAATTACAAGGACATTGCAGGCTTTTACCCTAGTTAAATTAGTTAATTTTGTCTTTAACATTGGTGAAGAGTTAAAGATGTAAGGTAACCTTCCACAGTATCAAATTTTGCCGTTGATTTTCCAAGCTGCAAAGACAGTGCCGCCTGACTGGAAAATAAGTAAATAAAGAAAGAAACCCCTCGTATAACCTCACCTAGGTGACAGGAAAGGCACTGCTGTAACAAGGTAAATCACTCACCGTTTTCACGACTCTTCCCTTAAATAAAGGCGGAAAAGAGGACATTGCTCCGCCAAAGGGAGCTGCGGGGACGAATTATTCAGGGAGAGTTCGGGAGGGAAAGGAAGGGGAAAGAGGCGAAATGGTAGCGGGCGCAAGGCAGCTCCTCCCTGACACCGACCCCCGCCCTTCCCGGTAAAGCTCCCGCCGACC